TGACGAAATTCAAGAGGAGAATATATTTAACTGAATAAAATTTCTTTCATGAAAGGAAATGCTAATTTTGCATGGAAGTTATTTGAATGCAACGGAAAATCTTAATACCTCATTAATGTCATCATTATCGATATCTGATAAACAAAGTGATAAGATGTTATCACCAGTTACAGTCCAAAATGCATCCTTTCCCTCCACATCTAAACCCCATACGGCACAATTACCACCACAGAGTATAAGCTTATCATCCGTGTTAAAGTGTCCTACCTGAAATTATATTTCATTTTATGAAATTAATGAAGAAATACAGAAAATTCATATTGAATATTGGAATACATTAACGTTGTAATTAAGAAGAAAAGATGGAAAACAAGCAGATGAGAAATGCTGATGAAAATTTGTCAGTTCATAAGATTTTTATGAATCTCATAAAATTAATTTTCATTTAAAAATAGCAATCTCACGAAAGTGTAATTCAGGTTAATTTTTTTTTAAATGAAAGGTGACAATTTAAATTCTTTCATCATATATGCATCCTTATTTTAAGAAACATTTCATATTCTGATACGAAGCTCTTCCTTGTATGTCTTCTTAGGCTTCTCATATATCAAAAATACCTTAATCAATACCTGTATGCAATTAACACCATCAATAAGCTCACGTTGAATTAATGTTGTATTATTGTAAGCATCGTAAATTAATATACCGCATGTTGTACCAACGATAATCACATCATACGTTCCACTCAACGTTGTTACTTCTAAAGCTCGAATTTTTTCATTTATATTAAGGATTGTTGCAGTGTCATGAATTATAACCTGTAAAATTTTGTAAACTTAAATTAACATTGTTCCATTTTCAAATATTAAATTATCGATTGAACTGATACATATACGTGGAAAAGAATATTCATATACAATATCAGGAATGTATTTTTATTACAGAAAATAATGAATCGATGTAATTTCCATAAAAATAAATTTTACCAACCTTATTTGTTGTTGTTGCAACAATAAGTTTTAATTGTCCTGTATCATCAATTTTACCAAATCGTGCACAGCCAGGAACGATATGATGTGATATTTGGTAGGTAAACTCTGATCGAAGGCCTGACATCAAGTGCAAATGTTACCAGGTAGAAGTGAGTTAAGAATGAGCCAAAACGATTTGGAAACATTCGTTGCCATGGGTAACCGATACATAGCAGCATCATGTAAATTGCATAATTCATTATGAGATAATATGTAATGTATAATTTAAGTTTAATGATTTAAAAGGAATTGTTTTCATATTAAATGATCTTTAACACTTTGATTGTAATTTTTGCTAATAAGAATATTACGAGACGCGCTGAATGATGGAGAAAATAATTTTTTACAAAAAAGAATCATTGGAATTCTTAAATATTGCTGAATTTCAGAATTCTTTCTCGGATGAACTTAACTTAAAGTTCTAATGTCATTCCTGAAAAATTTTTAAATTTTCTAAGTAATATTTCTCACCCACTTCCGAAATTATATTCACAAGTCGCCTATTTCTATAATAAATTAAATGAAAATAAAAATGCAAACTGAATTTGACAGTGAATCATTTTAATAATTTTACATTTGTTTGAAAGGTTGTTTATTTGAAATGTTTTTTGTCGGCAATTAATTTATATTAAAATAAATGTGAACGAAATGAAGTTTTTAGCACAAATAGTGTATAATTTTAAAATAAATTAAACAAAAAAAAAATCAATTCTCTTGAGAATATATTACAATTTCAAATTCACATTTTAGCTTCTTTCAATTTTTTTTTTTAAATTATGAAAAATTAATAAAAAGAAATATGAAACAATGAAATATTGCAGCTATACGGAGGAGATGCACAGAAAATGGCAATAGAATCAGAATCTGAAAATTCTGAAACCGCCACATCGAGTGTGACAATTTTGAAATGTTTGCAAAAAAAAGGAATTCATTACAAGCACATTATAGGTTTGCACATATTTTATAAATAAAATTCTGAAAAGTGAAATATAATTTAAATTTTTTATCATAATTTAGAAATTCAACTGGAAAATTTTTAAATAATTGCCAAATTCTGTAATCCTTGTTTGCGCAACTAACTGAAACGAATTTTAATAAATTTGAAAAAAAAAATCAGAATTCGAATGCAAATAGACCGCATTAATATGATTACATGATTAATGAATATTTCGTATCTTTTTTTTTGGTTCTTGAATTAGTAATTGTGGAAAAATTGTTGTGAAACATGAAAAAGTGAAATAAATTACACAAGTTTTATAATTGAAAAACAGAAATTTCATAACTGGGAATTACTGCAGATAATCAAATATTGTATGAGAGTATTATTGCCATTGAGAGTATTTTTCAGGTAAGGGAACATTTTCATCGGTCAGATGTGCATGGCATGATATCATGAAAAAATATGTCGCACTTAAAATTATCGATACGAGGTATGCAGCAATTAATTCTTTAATTAGTTGAATATTTTAATTATTATTACTTTTTTTTAAAATTTTAACAAAATCGTTAATTTTCATTGTTATTTTCAGCTCGAATTCTGATTTTATAGTACGTTTTCTACCCCGCGAAAAAATTATTATCCAGCAACTTAATCATGCAAATGTTATAAAAAATTTTGAAGTTAGTAATTTATAAAATTTCCTTCACAAAATTTTATGACGATAACAACGATAACATTAATAGTAGTGATATTTTTAACAATTCTGATCAATAGCAGTAATGAAATGTTAATTAAAATTTAGATTAATTATACCAATGTAATACACGAAACGAAATGATGAAAGTCGATCACAATATGAAAATTTCGTTATCTAAATTTTTAAAATTTAACCTGAATTAACAAAAGTAAAGTTAATAGTAGGAGATTACAAAAAAAAAATGAGATTAATATTCTTTGAGAGTAATTAAATTAATTAAATGAAGAAAAAGAAGTGGTATATTAGATAATACATTTCTAATTAATTACTTGATATCATTAATATCAGATTGTAAATGAGGAACCATTTGTATGCTTCGTTCAAGAATATGCTATGCACGGTGATCTTTTGCAAAAGATCAAGAAAAATGATCGAATTGAGGAAGAGGAGAGTCGATTCTATTTTCGACAACTTATTGAAGCACTTACGGTATTTTAATATGCAAAAAATTATTGTACCGATTAACTGACCAAAAACAAGTTTGATTTTTGCTAATTTAGATTACAAATTAAATCAGAAGTGCTCAAATTAGCAATTAGACTTGAACTGCCTAAGAGTGCTTGGTCACAATTTCATTTTCTAACTTGATTGCATTTGCAAGCATTTCAATTATCCTTGAATATTTGTATTAGAAATTTTAAATGAAAAATTTAGATATATCTACATAATTTTTACTTAATAAAAAAATAACAACTTTTTCCTTAGCAAAGTTTCAATATCATAGAAGAATTATACGATGGAATTTGTTATCATCGATCATTAATCCCTCAAAATTTCAATCAAACTTTTAAAATGATTTAGTATCTGAAATCAATCAATATAGCGCATCGTGATATAAAATGTGAAAATGTATTGCTGGACAGTTGTGATAATGTTAAACTTGGCGATTTTGGCTTTGCTCGATTTATGAAAGCTGACGAAATGTCACATACATTTTGTGGATCTCGAGCATATGTTGCACCTGAATTACTGCGGTATAACAAACTTGGCTTTTTTCTTTGAATTCAAACTTTCTTGCGATATCGTGTAAGAGACAGAAAATAATATTAAATGAATTTATGTTTGATGAGTGAAAATTTTAATTTCAAATTAGATCATATCCATATAACGGTTTCCTGGCAGATATTTGGAGTACAGGTGTATTATTGTATGTCATGGTAACTGGATTTATGCCATACGATGATCGAAATATCAATAAAATGCTCGAAAAACAATTACAACATCGGTAATTTAGCTTAATTAGTATAAAACTTTTTGTAAATAATACGAATATTTTACTTCGTTTTATTGTTATCAGTTATCAGTGATTGAATGAACTGCAATGCAGGATAACATTTCCACGTCGTCGCTCGTTGAGCGCTGAAGTGAAAGAACTCATTTATGCAATGGTACATCCGGAACCACTGAGACGACGACCGTATCATGAAGTTATCAGATCTTCATGGCTTGCCGATACGAAATATGAACTTCGTTCCGAACCATTTCCACAGAAGTCCGATAATGGCTAATCTTACGGCTAATCAAAAGATACAAAATTGATGATTTAATTTCATCTAACGAAATTCATAATACATACATGAAGTAACTTTTGTATTCAATAACTAAAATTAAGCTTATTGATTTGATCATGAATAAATTAAACTCCATTCTATAATAAGCAAAAATTTATGCTTTGATCGCAATTTCATTTGCATAAATATTTATTTCAATATTATACATTCTGCTCTTACTATAAATCGGGAATGCATGGTTTGTAATTTATTCAACTTACACATTTCTTATTCAAATAAAAATGCAGAACTTGAAAAGCTCTTTTAATTGATGCCAAAGTGATGTTATTTGAAAGCACGCAGGTAAATTGAAATGTAAATTTTAAAAGTGTTAATGATAAAGTGCTGCATGTAAAAATAAAATTGCTCCTTTTGGCTTTCTTGCTTATAATTTATTCATTGTTTTGATTGAGCTTTTTTACTTATGTGATTAAACTTTTACAGTACCAACAACTTAATGGTTTAAAAATAATCGTTTTAATTAAATAATTCGTCGAAATTCCACCCGCTACGAGAACTCGTGTCAAAGTATACTTTAATACAAGTTAGTTCGCTCTAAATGAGTAGAACAACTAACTTTTAATAAAGTATAATTTGACCAAGAAAAAAAAAAGCAATCAAACCTCTTATTAATCGTCCTTCATATTTTCACTACTTATTTGAATAATGTTATGTAATTATAAAACCTGAAAATACAATCCCAGTAAACTAGTGCGACAAATGATAGAAATTGACAGACCCACTGAATCATTCTCAAAAAGTTATGACAATTTATATTTAGTTTCAAAATATCATTTTGCGAAGCAGGCAAGCCTGGTAATTATTCTTAAGCCTTATGCAATTGTCACACCTATAAAATCCATGGAAGTAAAATTCTGACTTAAAGCCTATCCAAGAGAAAAATCTAAAAGTAATAGTAAAAAAAGCAGAACTTCAAAAATTTTCACCATGGAATTTTATTTTAGCATAAAGCATGCCTTATCTGTTTTTCACCGATAAACCAATTCTGTGTGGAATGCTCGGTGATAAAGAATGTTAAAGTAAATTCTTTGATCATTCTTTTCAAGATAAAATCACGAGAAATCATATGAAATTAGAAAATTCGTTATGAATGTTACCATCTACAGAACACAAAAATCCATTCCAGAAGTAATACAATTCAGTTCAAAATTTTTCGGAATATAAAATATTTGAAAAATAGATAAAGCACATTATAAGTGCTTTTTTTTTTTTACTTATCCTAAAACATTTTTGTTAATTTTCTACAGTAACATCTTTCACAGATTTGTCAATAGCAAAGAAAAAAACTTCATAAAGCAAGAAAAAAATTCTCATTGAGGAAACAATTTGATTTGATAAAGTAAGCTGAAGACTTTAACAAAATTATGGAATTGATAAGAAATTGTCAATTCGTTGACAACTTTTATCGTACATTATACATCACTATATTAATTAGTATGAATGTTATCGTTGCATCACTTGACGATCATAATCATATTACTTTTAATCACTAAAATCTTCAAATATTCACCTGGCTTTTGTAAGTTAATGTTTCCTATGTTTTTCTGAATAATGAAACAAAAATTCGGAAAAAAAAAGCCAGAAAATTGATGGCAACGTGTTTTATGTCTGTAATCATTGTATTCTAACATTATTAATTATGATTATTATAATGTATATAATTTTTTCCCCTCATTATTTATCGCTTACTAAAATAAAATCATATGACAATTACTTTGATTGTTATGATATTTATTCTGTTTGACATATTACTCAATAATTTGCCAATGAAAAATGAAATAATCATATAATATTAATTAATTCTGATATTGTCTGCAAACTTTAAGCAATTTTGATTTGTATGAAAAGATTGATAGAAAAGAACGTTTGTCAGTGAATTCGATAGTTTTGTTCAGATTACTATAGTTGAAACATGATGACATCAAGTTAATTTCTATTATAATTATAACATTGTCGTTAACTTCAAGTCTTCCAATAAAGTTTTGGCACTTATGATAGAAATAAATTTGTCTCTTAAATTTTAGATAGAAAGTGAGTCATATTTCCATACCGCTTAATAAATTTATGCCATGAGCAATTTTTGCATATTCAAAATTAAAAATTAAAAAGAAAATATTTATCAGAAAAAAAAGCATAAATAGTATATTAATGATGTGATTATTTAAAGTAATTTAGAAAGCGGTTATTTATTGATGAAGTAATTGGCCAATGCATTCTTATTTAAACGATGTTTTGCATCATCAATAATTTTTTTAATTGAAAAACTTTTCAAATATAAGAAATATGCAAATTTTGCTTGTAAAATTTGGTTAAAATATTTAAAGCAAAATGATAACTTATCAAACCATTATTCATATTGATTATTAAACGATATCGAAAAGTTTATATTTATTGCAGATGTCTGAAAAAGGAAGAGATATCCGAGAAACAAAGCTAGAAAAACCTGAAAAGTTCGTTTCATACTTGTTTTACTTTTTTCAAAGTAACTGATCAGTAACTTGTTAATTTTTTAATATAAGCAAACAAAATAGAACACGAAATATAACTTTAAAAAAGATCATTCTACTTTTTTCAAAAATCTCTTTTGTCTTTTAATGTTTTTAGTGTATTGTTAATATTTTAATATCTGTCTGTCTTTTATGCATAATTCTCAATTTTGATAACATGAAATTGAATTTTTGCTGAGAAATTTTATAATCAAGCAAAAACATTGATAAAAAAGAAGAAATAAAATTTCAATTTTTAAAAAGCTTCATAAAGAATAAAAAAATTTGAAAATATTATAGGCATGTGAATAAACCAATTCAAGCGATTAAAAAATTGAAGAATCATTTCTACAAATCAAGTAAAAAAAATAAATTCAAAGCAACAAGTACCGCTTTATCAATCGTCCGAAACGTGGATGCTACAAGCAAGATTACTGATGCATCACGTACCGCAGATACACCTCGTAGCGTAATCTCTCACTCTATCGAATCAATTCATAACGCTGAACCATCACAGCAAACAGTTGTCAGTCGTACCGTGGAACCCGTTCAATCACATGTTATAAGCATTTCCAGCAATAATGATAAACCGATACGTAATGTTGATCTATCATCTCCTGGAATAGTTGTTTCAAGAAATACGAATCTTTCACGAAGCACTAAAGTAATCCGTAATGGTACGGTTGACTTTCAAACGCCGAACACATCACGTAACACGATTGCTAATATTTCGCGAAATTCGAATATATCACGTGTGACAGATACATTTGGTGTGAATAATTTATCACGAGATATGAAAATGCCACATAATGAAGAAATGGTTTACAGTAACGATCTGTCATGTAATACGAAAGAAATTGGTAAAAATGGAGAGTTAACAGGAAAAAACATTGATATCACTGACGGGAAATGTAAGCATTAATGTTATCTCATATCATTTCATGTATAATTGCAGATATTATTACTATCATTACTTATTCCATTCATAAAGCTTACCATATTTTTAACATTTTCACTTTTATCACTTATCAGAAAGATTTAAAGATATCTTACATGATTTAATAAAAATATGAAATATATTTATTTCAATATAGTTAGAAGAAAATTTAGAAATTTTCAATGCAAATTCGTTAACAATTTCTTCAATAATCTATCATATCAGAATAATTACAGCGCTAATAAATGGTCAGAAATCGTCACCAGAAGTGACCGATCAATCATCACAACTTCGTACATCGCAATCACTTTTGATAAGTGCAGAAAATATCAACGGTTGGTAATTGTTTGATATTTGCATCAAATCAGTTTTTGGCACGGTAAATAATGAGAAGGTACTTGAATAACTTTATTGGAAATTGTTAGATTTGGAATTAAGTGGGGAAAAATTAATTTATTTTTATGGTAATAATAGTTGTCACACTAATTATTTTCATGTAATGATGCTATTGATGATATCTTTAAATCCAATTAATTAATCTGGTTAATATTCAGTCGCAAAATACTGGGTATTTTTTTTAACCATACTTAATTATTACAACTTTATTTACAGCAATGAAAGCTGAATTATCTGAAGAAACGAAAGTAGAAAAATTGAGTGATATAGCGATCGAGCAACAACTTGCATCATTAAATCAGTAAAAATTATTTTGTCGTCACGCTCGAATTTTTCAAGTTTAATTTTTTGAAATGAAAATTGAAAAGTTTATTTTTTTCAGAATAAATAGTACAAAGAATATTCATTAATCATTGATACATCAATCCATCTATCAGCGAATTTATCCTAAAATTTATTTGGTTTTAATAGTTTGTTTATTTATCCACAGATAGTAATCGATAAATGAAAAGTAAAAACAATTATTTAACCGATTATACCAAAAATTTTTTCAATGAAATATTAAATATTTGTCATATTACAATTAGGCATTTTTTAGTTGGACATTCAGTAAAATTAATTGAAATATGAAAATTGAAAAAATTTTTATTTCAACTCTTCAAATTGTAACGTCAATATTTATTATAGACGTTTAAAAATACTAATAGATGAAAACGAAAAAACAAACAAACGTGAAGAACAGCTTTTCGCGACCAAAAATCAAATCCTTGCCAAAATTGATGTAATCAATACTTTATTATTTAGTAAAATTAATTGATATTTTTCATCAACTCATTCATATATCGATTTTTATTAGCAATAAATAATGCAAGAAAAAAGTCAACATTCAAAAATTTAATCTCTTTAAAAGTATTTGCTGCAATTTTACCATTATCATCATTTTATCATTTATTAAGATTGTAAAGAAACAAATCAGTGAAGCGATGGATCATTATCGCGATATAGCCCATGCTTGTCATGAGAAAATTGAAAAGGAAGAAATTCGTCAAAATGAAGTGAATATTTGTTAAATTCTTTCTAAACAAACAGTTATTGTATATTATTTTGAAGGAATATGTAAATATGACGATTAGCACTAGCAAAATCACATTAATTTACTAAATATTACCAAATATTAGCTAAATTCTCGTCATAAAATTAATTTTAGCAATGACGAGAAAAAATAATTGAAGGAATGAGTGAAACCATCTCTATAATTAGTTAATTTTGCTAAAACTTGATTGGTATTCAAAATGTTGTTACCTTTCTGAGAATCGAAATTAACATAATTGAAAGATAGTCAAAAATAGATGAATTGTTAGAACAATTAGTTCCTATTTTTAACCTATAAATTTACTCATACAATTCGATGCATAAATGTAAAAGAAGAAATGCACAAACAGTAATATGTAATAGTGAGCAGTATACTAATTATAATAATTAATAACAATAGCTAATTTAAAGATAATTGTCGAATAAAAAAATCAATTATAGATGCTAATGGATTTAAAAGAAAGGATTGAAAAACTTGATGATATGTGTACTGATATTAATAATCAAGTAGACGATATGACAGCAACATTGAATACGGCATATAATGCGGGTGAAAGTGATGCATTATATATGATTGCTGCCTGCTCGGTTGATTTTATCATACGTTTTTTTAAACAAATATATGCTACCATCATTTCAATTACAAAGGTATATCAATATCGATTAAAAATTGCATACTATCCATTTTGTTCAGATTTATCATAATTAGTAGCATTTACACATAATTATGCCGAAGCCTTACTATTGAATCAATTTTTTTTCTTGTCATTTAGTGAATCGTTAATGTTATAAAGTATTACATTAAATTTTCAATCATTTCAAATTTTCAATTCCTTATCCATAATTAACTGCAATGCTTTTATGTACTTATACATTCATCATAGTTTAAAATCTTCAGTTATTCAGATTTTATTTATTTTTATAAATAGTTGTAAAAACAAAAAATCAGAAATGATCAAAATTTTAAAATTGATCAATATCTAACATCATTTTTAGCGAATGACAGATGAATAGCGCAGTTCAGAAAATGAAAAACATTTAGATTATCAATTTTCTGCAAAATTCATAATTTTAGAACCATAATTTTTGACAAGTTTATTTAATTATTTCAATCTTATAAATCTTACTTTTCATCACTTTTATTTTACACTTCTATTCATCAAAAAATTTTAATATGAAATAAGAAGAAATTAGGAAAAATTGCTAAAATTGTGAGAAATTTTCAGTATTCTATAAAAAATTCTACATTTTCAGTATTCTACATCATTACTGACAGCATCAAATTCAATGTCACCGAGTGCTACCAACAAAGAAAAGAAAATTGACACACTCATATCGACCCCTATAGATTAATCAATGCTTACAAAATAAAAAAAAAAACCGTTGACGTTATTTTTATTTGAAAAATTTTTGTTGTTAAAATTTTAAATTCGATAATTGACATCATTCCTTATATCTTTTTTTTTTTGCACACAGAAAGTGTCACGTGATGCGATAGAGGTGCTTATGAATATGATGCAATGATATTTAAAGTTGAATACACAAATGTCGCAGGCTCTGTTGCTTTTTAGAGTTGCTAAGAAGCTGTTTTCAGAGTTACTAAGAAGCCGACAATGAAAGTTAAATAAAGCAGACGATAGCGACTGTATATATTTTAAATCTTCTCGAAAGAAAAAAAAAAACGATCTATAGATTAGTTAGGCTGTTCATGTATGATTAACCTTTACTAGATATTTCTCGTCACAAAAACCAGCCCATAATACCATATGCTAATTACAAACTAACATTTTTAAAATTTCATAAAAGGAAATTTTCGAAATTAAAAATGGATTTTGATACCGCTCCTACAATACCATTGAATTTTGATACTGAGGAAGGTAGACACCGTAAAATTATAGCTTGCTTATTTGAAGCTGTAGTCTTTCTGTGCCAACAGGTATAAAATGAAATTATCAGTTAATGCATTCATTAGTATTTTCCTAGAATTTGCTATCGAAATAACTTAAATTTATGAAAATATATATAGTTTTTTTTGAAAAAATCATTTGAAATAAACAACAGAAGGTTCTGTGATAAAAATTCCATCTCCTTTTACAAATAATAATAAAATTCGCTCTTCACCGTTTATACTTAGAATCCAATTAATTTTGTTTATTTTTTTGCAGTCAGATATGTTTTCTTTTCACTTAAATGACTGAAAGAGATAGGAAATGAGAAAAAAAAACAAAGCAAGGATGCTATAACTAACCAGAAAAAAGAAGGAACAGAAAATAACAAGTAATAACGAAAAGTAAAAAGCATAAATGTACAGGACATGGAGGGGAAAAAGACAAAAAACATTTCTCCGACCATCTTTCACGGATTCGAATTGGCTAAGCAAGATACTTTTTGTTATCTAATTGAGATAAAAGACGAGTCTTCAAGTGTTAAGTCCAAAATAAAGAGATAAATCATTCATTCAAAAAAGTGAACAATTCACTTCTAATGAGCCAATGTAATTTATCGTGCTAATAGCAGATAACTATTTTACCACTCATAAAATATTTCGCACCACTTCGCCTTCAAATAAGAAGCCAATATTTCTATCTATGAATAATTGATGATGACAATATACGTTAAACGTGTATTACTAAAACATTTTTAAAGCAATTTTTATAATAATAAAAAACGATAGCGAAAATCTGATATTTTTGAAAGAACAACTGAGCTTTTTTATAGGTCACTTTATGATTTGCAAGCTATAAATGAAGAATCTGTTTTGTTGCCAAATTTTTCTTTATTTTTGGACTTTATACTGCCATATAAACTGTTCGTTTTATTCACAACGAATAAATAATAATTCATTAAAGAAAGATAATGATAGCGAAGTAATAAAAAAGCATTCAATATATACAAAAACAAAACAAAATGGTATATTTTTTAAAAAAAAATCTAAAAAATTGGACTATCATCGTCCAAATCCATTTCTACATCGCTTTGCTCCTGAAAACAGCCACTTTTAGTTTAGTTCATCGTCAAAACTTAACAAACCGATAATTTTCTTTCAAGCAGAAATACTAAAAAATGTTTCAAAAACAGTTCTGGAAAATAAGAATTTTAAGAAAAATTAATGATACATAAATCTATATTTGCACTAAATATATCAATTGAGAAATTGACCTCTGCAAGCTCCATTTCATCGTTTTCGTCTTCGCCAGTTACTGGTCTTTGTTGTGAATCACCAACATCTTCTATTTCCATGTCTTTTAATTCTTCACCCTTAAAATTGTATAAATTATTCAATGCTTATTACAAGGTAAATAATTTAATTTTGAAAAGGAATTAAACGTGTAACCACTTCTTCAAACAATTTCTAAAAATCCCATTTGTTCCAAAATTACCATATAATTTGCAGAAAGTGAAACAGTCTCAAATGTAGGAGTAGCAAAGTCAGTTCTACTTTCTCGTTCACATGTCCGTGTGATTTTCAAATTCCTTGACTTTGTAAAAAAATATAACTGGTGTCTAAATAAATACTGTCATTTTAGATAGGTAAAATGAGTAAAAAGGCACATCTAAATTTCTGCTCTTCAACAATCCAATTTGAAATGCGCTGTCGCAGTCGACGCCAATCATGAGCTGATGAACTGCTCTAATAAATTGCTCCGATGTAGCCCTTAACATAGGTAACAACTTCAGCAATGATGCACATTTAGTGCTCTGCAAAAGATTTTAATTATAAAAGGATGGAGAATTTCAGAGATGATTTTATTATATTAGAAACTAAGAAGATAAACATCCTCTCAGGAGACCCAAGCTCGAATTTAACTCGTTAAAAATATGTAGTAATTAAATTTCTTCGCAGTTAACTATATTCAAATGAAAGCTTGGTAGTACCCAAACAATTTGCTTATCTCAGTATTCATAGGGATAAATTTCAGTTAAATAAACTTTATTTAAGCGGATTATAGTGTAATAAAAAAGTGAAATAACCTTTGCATGAGCACTCATATTCTGTAATGAACGATTACCAATCTGTACTGTCTTCAAAATTGCATTTGCCTCTGCACCATACCTCGCAAACCTTGAAAATACTGTCTGCTATTCTGATTTATCAGCTGTATGATATATTAAGAAGTGTGAATGATAAATTTCCTTATATCTACAAAGACAGCTATATCATTTAATTGAGTAACTGATTTAAAAAAGAGTAACACACACATATTATAAATTAAATCAATTAAAAATCAAAATTTAACCTCGATTCGTCTGATAACAAGTATATGAAGGAACTTTTCACAGCAAAACTTTGCAAGAATAAGCGCCCTTCACGTGCAGCAGTTAACAGCACACTAGCATTTCGTAACTCCTACATAATTTGATGATTAAAAGCTAAAAAACGAATTCTCTCGTTTGATATGCAAAGCTATCCTGGAATAGATGAAGAGCTACGTGACAGGTCCAGTGTCAGATAATAAGCTGACTCGCTCAAATTTATAATTCGAAAAGAAGTGTGAGAAGAAAGCTAGTATAACATATATTGCACTTCAATAAATTTAGTTCCCCTAAATTCATTGGAATAGAAGTAAATTTAGATTGAATTTTAATCCCCATGACATTTAATGATAAAGTCATAAGAAAACCTCATGGATACATTTTTATGATTTAATTCCGTTTTTATTCAGCTTTAGAATTTGAAAGATATAAAAAAATACCTTTACACGGATTAGCAGGGTTAAAAGGCAGAAACTACTAGCAGCAATCTTCCAAAGTGCAAAGCATTTATTGTGCTGAAGTTTGCCTTTTTCAATCGCTTGTAACGACAGAACATTCCTGATAGTTTCATTCAGTGAACAGAACAAAATTTTGTAAACGGAAGCAAAAGTAACTCTGAAACGAGCAAACATTACAGTAAATTCATAAAAGCAATAAATTACTATCAGCTATTCAATAAATACCCAAGCATTTAATGAATGAATAGCTTCTATTGAGAAATGTTCATGGCGACATACTTGCTAAAACAGATAAAAAGAGATCCTTCAGTCTCATCCAAATCCTTATCGCGACAGGGCTCTAAGGATGATATTTTACTTCGACGCCGCTCGTCTTCTGGGACTAATTCAGATATTTTGTTTGCTAGCATCCACTGGATTGCAGAAAGTCGCTCAGTTTGTTCCCGAAATGAAAGATATATCCTATGAAAATATTCATTTTTTATTGGCGAAGGTTTGGAAAACATATTCATCAATGTTAGTTGACAATTTTTTGACGATTACGGAGTTTTACGCTAACACTGTATGTAAGTACATAATTTAAATAACCAATTTCTGTCATATATTGTCCAAGTTTGCGCCAATGAAATCTTACAAATTAAAGCTGATATTTACCACAAAAAATTTGGCTGTACAAGGATCAGTCAGTAGAGTAGACAGTTACCTTGCAAGCAACACTATAAATTATAAAGAAAATTTCAACCTTAAAATGCTCGCAACCCCTTGATTAAGTAATGCACCTTTCACCGGTCTTTCCTCTACATCAAACCATTCTCTTTTCAAATACGCAAGCGCTGATTTTGCTGAAAATAACCACCCATACTTTGTTGAAGCAGTTTCATCCAAATTACTTTTTTTTATGATGTTGGATTTAAATGATTCATAATTTGCCATTTGAAAGCTGAAATCTGTGGCGCCGCATAATTTCTAAACAATTACCAGCTTTGGATTTTTGCCGTGCGTCAATGAAATCACAGGAAAGTAACTGAAGTAAAGAAACAGCACAATTCAGTGTAGGGACGATCTCGGAAATACTTATAAAATAGCCCGAAACAACATCCTAAAAAACAGACCTACATGTAATAAAACAAATGGGACTTCTTATTTTTATCCTCTTACTAACCATAACTTCTGTGAATTTAACTGAACAGATCGAAAAAGTCTGCAATTTATTTAAATTAAGGAGCTAAATTATGAATGTAACCTCTGCCTCATCTGCCCCCTGTGTATCTTCAACAACTCCAACATCAATCATCGCTCTTTCTAACTTTTCCATGAGCAATTTTCGACGTTTCATTCTTGAAAGGTGAGACTTTTGTTCTTCCACTGAATCATCTCTGGATGTTTTCATAAAATCCTGGCTGAAAACATCTTCCATTCCTAATAACGATTCAAATAATCTATCTTGAATGATACACCCTTCTAAAGATTATTTCACGGTTAATAATAGTAAAAACGAAGAATAAAAAAGAATTAAATATTCATTTAAGACGTTGTCTTATAGCATTGCAAAACAGTAGATTCGATGCAAAAAAAAAACTTACGATGAAAATATGTTATAAAAAAGGACTAGTGACGAGTGCATGAGAGCACTCATGTCAGCGTAATAGGAGCGTTTAGCAGAATCGAGGAAGACAGATGTATCCAGAAGATTTTTGAAATACTCCACTGCACCATGTAAAATGACAAATAAAGTTGGGATAACAGATTGAATTGAATGCCAAACGATCTTTGAACCATCACTTCCCAAAACCTTTTCTGTAGCAGTTTTTCGGGCTACCTAAACATAGAACACAGAATCGTATTATCTCAAAATTTGGATAAATTTAAAGTAAACTAAAAAAATTTTGGAATTAATGGATAGATCTGTGGATAGCAGATAAATAAGAAATATTAACAGACTGACATTCCAAGAAATAGATGTAACTAAAATTAAATTTTAAAAACGAAGGTAAAGTCTGTGCAGTACTGATAAAATTTGGTAAATGATGTCAACCACTAGCTGATTTAGTTGGTAATGATCTTTTGAAATAAATATTTTGCTATGTATTGACACAACTCAATAAAACTTGTATAAGGGGAAAAATATTGAGGATAAATGATTTAATATTATTACAAATTAATAGATAACTTAATCAAGATGAAAAGGAAATTTACAGCTATATAAATGGTTTTAACAATGGAATATAAATAAATGCAGCTACCAATATTTTTGTGAGTATCACAATCCGAAACGTACCAAAAAAGGAGATATTTTCTTGTTCTTTTTAGGTAAAAGTTCTTCCAACAGTTTGCCCAAAGTTTCTAATAAAAACGCTGTTTGTTTCCTCTTTTTTGGCAACAACTGAAATACTATAATATGATAGATGAGCAAAAGATTATGTCTAATCCATCTCAATATACTATTTTGCTAAACTTCATATCTCAAAGAAGCAATGATTATTTTGCACGTAAACTAAGTGTAATCCACATAATCTGATCCATTACATGAACAGCTTGCTGAAATTTTGAACAAAAAATATGATAAATTTGAACGCGACAATAGGGAAGACATATTCTTACACTCTACATTCTGTTAGAATATGGCAACTAGAGTTTGACAAATTTAAAATAAACTTGAACTTACTTCAATCAAATGAATAACGGTAGCGAAATTGAGTGGCAAGAAAAAGGACAACAGTTGAGATTCGACAACTAGTTTTTGTCGACCCAAATTCTTAGTTTTCATACATCTAAACTGTTCAATTTTGACAGTTTTCGTTTCGCCAACTCGAGTAGTATCTCTCTGTAAATCTTCTCCCTGCAATCATACCAAAATATTACTAGATTGTTATGCTTTTTAAAGAAAATTTTCTAATACTCCTTTAATCAAAAAAATTGGTCAATCGATGCTATTCATCCCGTAAGCAACGATCTCATGTTACTCATCAGTTGGATTAATGGAAATCCTACTAATAATTGCTTAGGCAAATTTTATGCTGATAGATATTTAATTCTATACAATTTTGACTTCTTAAGTCTGTGAACCGTTTATCAACATGAATGCAATGAAGAAATTCTTTAAACCTACATTTTCCTTATCCATCGTTTCATTTGACTTGCTTTCTGCGTCATCAGTATATTTTATTCCATTTTCATCTTCATTATTTCTTTTTCTATTATTGGCTGCATTTTTCCAACTTTTTATAGACGATGATTTCTTAGGAATATCATAAAAAACTATTAATTCGGTTTGTTCAAAATCCAACACACATGGCATTCTATACTCTCCGATTTCTAGAATTACAATTTTTAAACTGCATTATTCAAACTAATACATGAAAAATCACAAAAAAAATTTTGGATTTTGATAAAAAGTGGAAAAATCTGTGCTATTTCTTTAACTTCTATTACTGCTACACTCCCTCAATCTCCTATTAAAAGAAGGTTTGAATCATACTACCATAACATTGTTCGATGTATATATTACTTTACAACGTTGTTCGTTCAATTGTGTTGGATGTTTTCTAAAATTGTTATTTATAGCTAATCTTTTTATTCAAAAACATACAAACAGCCATTCCCTTTCTACAATTACCAAAATTTACTCTGAAATATCTCAATTTAACCAACTTTGAATGGTATACTTCAAACTTTTCTGGCACTCCATCATTAATGCAAATCTTTTACGTAATATGGCATGAATAGCCTCCGTATCCGATCCATATATCTTATTATCGCTTACAGCAAATGTATTTAACATCTAAAATTTGCTTCATAGTTGCACGAAAATTATGTAAAGCATAAGTACGAAATGGACTGAAAATCGAGGGTAGCAATTTTCGTAACATAATGACCCTTAACTCAAAAGCTGCCTTTGTAACCATTGCTATCCGTAGAATAGTAAAAATTTTTTATTGATTAGAACTTTAATTGGTTGCACTAAACTTAGCTATTATGAGAGGATTTGTATTTTTATTTTGTATTTAAGACTGAGTAATCCAAATATGCAGTGCCGCTAGTTTGGACATTATTGTGCATGATAATGAGTTATTTGAGGTGAAAACTGAGCGATCATCAAATCGAGCAGTTGTTTTCTGAATCATGTTTTGGTCAACTAATCAATTATTTTAATGCATTAGAAAAGAAACTAACTAGACGGATCCATTGAATGCAGAAAAAAAAAATGTCACAGTTTGTAATTCTGCTCTGGTTATCTTTCGTTTCTAAATCGACTTCAGCCATTGAAATATTCGCTTCTGCAACATCACTTTGAACTGTAGTCTGGGTAATGGTTTTATCCATATTTTAAAATGAATGATTGTCAATTTGTATTTTTAAAAAAACAGAAAGGAAAGGAAAATATGTCTTTAAGCGTCTACTTTGATCTAGATAACTTTAACCGAAACAATCTACAAAACATTTGTAATCCCTATAGAAGCTTTTAAAGTAATTATATGAAGTTAGATGTGTGTTTGTATGTGTTGTTCACCTAATATAAAGCGAAGTTCCATAAGAAAACCATCATTGCTTTGTTTGTTGGTCCATAAATATTTCAACTTGGTAAGCGCTAAAAGAAGTTGGAAATGAGCAATTGGTTCAAAAACTCGATTTTCCGAATCAGATATTTTCGAGGAATATTTCACAAGTTTGCTTAAACAAAGCCACTCTTTATGCAATGAGTTGCTATAGCGTTCATCTTCCAAGCGACTGAAATGTGACATTAATAAATTTCCGAGCTTTATGAAATTTTAGTTGTAAATTAGAGCAGCACAATTAGCAATCGTAATTTTTGATCTTTAAAATATAATATATCTCATTCAGATAACCAAGATCCTATTTCCTTTCCATATAAAATTGTAGTATGTTAGTGCAAATTAATGCAAATAAAGTATATTCTCGAAATAACAATGTTAAAGCATGTCTATATTATATTTTTGCTTTAAAGAATAATTACCATTGTATACAATTCTGTTCAAATTTCTTTAGATAATTTTGTCTGAATTCCACACATAGTCTTTCCGCCCAGACAACCTGAAATAAATAAAACAAATATGTTGACCCAATAGTTGATTTCCACTTTATTGTAATCTCAATCCATTACTGAGCGCAAAGAAAAAATTTTACTGCCGTGATGATATATAAAAGTATACTTTAAATGAACAAAATAGGCTCCAAATATACTAAAAGTTGATTAAAATGTATTTTGGCTTACATTATAGGAAAACTCAACGGGATGGAAGATATTGCAATAAAGTCACAATTCCAATCATAATTTCATAACTTGTATGATCAAGTTTTATGAATCACGATTGATATAACATGATTTTGAGGTAAATTTAATCATGAATGTAAGTATAATTATTGACCAGAATAGCGCTGTGTTCAACTCCAGTACTGGTATTCAGAATCTTCGCAAAGTGCTGATAGAAACATGTGCGCAAATAAATACTATATTTTGTTCGTTCATCCAGCAAGGCCAATTTTTGTTTGAGCAAGCTTTCACGATCATTGGCGTTTAATCTGTATGAATAATTCTATTTCAAGTAAATAATAAACAATTTTAATTGACGAAAACTCTTACTTCTGGTTCACTGAAATAACAGAAGAAAATTGAAACAATAGAAATTCGTATTCCAAGATATCGCTGTCTAATCTATGAAAGCTGTACGTAGAAAAGAAAAGCGATGTTTCGAGACCTAACAAAGTTATGCTTACTATTCTATTGTATTAATTAAAGCAAATATTACCTGACTTTTTGAGGATTTGCTTTGGCAATAGCAACATTATTTCTTAGAAAAATCATTTCAAATCTAGTTGAAAAAGTTACACGAAAATACCTGCTATTCATTAGATATTGTTGCAATTGCATCAATACACCAAAAATCCCCCATATTTTTTCTCTTGTCGAAGACGAGGATATCATTTGCTCAATTTCAAAATCCAATCCTTTGTGCTGAATGAAAACGTATTTCCATTATTCGTTTTCAATAGTTATTAGTAAAGTTTTGCATTCGCAATGTATGGATTTTACTTTCATGAAGATAATAACTAAAATTGAGAAGGCCATTGAGCTACCATTCAGTTTGAAATACAGAAGATGCTTGTCGATTAGAATATTATAGTAGCAAAAGTTGATAAAAATATTTAATAACTAAGTACTACGATTGTACTAATTACCTCAATGATATGCACTAATGTATTATTTCTGAATCTTTAACACCTACTTTTTCAGTAATCTGTAACTGTTGGGCAATTCGTTCCACCAAAAGCAATATATTAAAAAACCGGCATACATTGTCGAATGAAAAATTAATCAAGCATGGTATTTTTTTCTAAAAAAAAACAAATGAGGAGGAAATTAATACTAAAAACATTGTTTTAATTGGATTTGATATATAATTCAACACGAAGTGATCGCTGTTCTGATATACGCATATACAACTATATCATGAACTGTTGCTAATTGCCCTTCTGAGCTCCTATTCCAAAAATTTTTTCAAAACTTGAAAAACTGAAGTCCGACAAAAGTCTGAAATTTAAAGCTTACACTGAGGACAAAAAAGAACTTCGCAATTTCTCCACTGTGATTTTCGGCGATGTTTTGCAATATTGAGAGCGTTGTGCTGATCTCCTCTTCCGTTCCATTTAAGTGTTGAATAATGTGATTAAAAATCTGAAAATTAGGTTCATTTATGCACTTCTTAATTTGTAAATTTTTTGTCAAAACATATCCGATACTTGAAATAACAAAATAAATCTAGGTTCCACATAAAAGAAACGATCAGAAAAGATTATACCACGGATTGTTCTGATGGAAGTTTTACAAACAGAGTTTTGTATCCATGAGCTCCAAACTGTATATAAATTGGTGCCGAAGACCACATCAAATTTTCGAAAAAACCACAGATTGGGCGGAAAAAGTGTGTGATATACTGAAATTCTTGAGAGTTAAAGACTAAAATTCCTGAATTCCAATATTAAAAATATTGTTTTCTCCAGAAAACAAAGCAATTTAAGAAATGATCATCTTGATGAATTATTAAAAACGATCATTTCTTTAACTGCTTTGTTTTCCGGAGATAAAATATTTAAATTTTTCTTTCTCAAAGTCATAGATGAGTATGAAATATAAATATTTTGACCGAAATAAACATGAGCAAATGAATAAAAGGGGATTATACATTAAAATCATTAAAACAACAGAAAATGCACCTCGGTGTATTCAAAAGCCAACGTAACAAGTTGTTCCAATTGAAAGTGCTGATTGCATAAAATCTGTTGTTTGAAGATACTGTAGACTGTATGACTCCAATTATTCACATCCATTAAAGCAAAATAAAATAAAACATCGAAAAGAACCGGTATCTAAAATATTACATTACAGATTAGTAAATGTAATTTGGAAGTCATAAAAATCTTAATGCAGCATATTACTACAAAATCTCAACGCATGAAATGCGAATATGAATTGGTATCGTTCTTACTTGGAGTTAATCATCTTACAAAAACCATACACGCTAGATAGACCCTGCAAATGTTGTCTCTACAAAATGAACCGATCATTCGAATTACAATTTCTAATTTTTATTTCTGATATATTTTTTCAAAAATTAACCTTTTTTGCGACTGAAACAAGATCTTCTCCAGTAATAGTACCTCTTTCATTCTCATCACTTTGTTCTTGTTTTTCGGTGGTCAACATAACTACTACATCTTTCCAGTAACGTCCGTCATTAGTTTTCATTTTTTTTAAAATTATTTCGAAGATTTCCATTAATACCTGGCCAACTGTCTTCTTTCTGAAATTTTCAGATAATCCTGAAGATTGAGAGAACGTTCGGAGGACAAAAATAACTAAACTAAAAAAAGAATAAAAAAACGTTCAGATAGCATAGACTAGTAGAAAAAAGTATGACCTCTCGAAACATTTTCTAAAATTTGCAATTTATAGATGAGTAAAAGTCCAATACCCTGTTCCTGTTTCCGTACTTTCTAGATTTTCTATTTGCAAATGTGCTCTAAGACTGCAGAGAATGTTCCGGAAGGCAAATTTCTCATTTTTGTGAATACTGTCCAAGCAATATGCCACCAGTTCTGGCAAAACTTCCATGTTCAGTTTCATTATATTTTGCAACATGATTCCACGAATCTAAAAACAAAAGCGTAACGGTGGAATATAACAATCTATTTTTTAGGAGGTTACCCCCCAACATCTAGGAATTACTAAAAATGCAATCGAAAGAAAGAAAACACCAGAGAAAATACAGATATTTCAAAAAAAACAAGAATGAAAATTTATTTGAAATCAGTTTATTAGATGTGAGAATCATAAACTGAAGCTTTGATGGGAGTTAATTTTGAGACGAAAATTACACTATTTGTCGTTTGTTCATCAGTGCGAAGTAAAAGTAGTGTTTGGAGGATACTGACTCGGAAGGATGGCAAATTGTCACGAACTGTTCTCAGAAACATTTGTTGCAAATTGTTTGCAGCATCTGGAAAGGAACGAGACTTTTATAGAATGAAAAACAGAAATGACTTTTATATAAAGGTTTACATTTTTATATGAGGAATTATTTGTCTTTATAGCATTTACAATAAAAACAAGTAATTCAAGCCACTATAAAATGAGGAATAAAGTACAGCGGCATTCAAACTAATTGTAATTCATTGTCATAAACAATCCATCGAATGAAAACCCGACAAATTCTGATAATTCACAGGTTTAATAAATGGAAAAATCGACCTTGCTGAACGATTGGACTAGATAGAATTTCTGGTAGAACTTGTATCAAAGCGTCACGTGGAGCACAACGCCAATTCTCCAAATCACAATCAAAAATTGAATTGAAGATCCGTTCACAGTCATATATAGTATCCAAATAACGAAACTGTGCGATACATGCAAGTGCAAGGTAGTCACTTTTCATGCAATCATCAGCAACGCTAAAATTTTAACCTTAAATCAGCTGAAAAGAAACAATATTCAAATGGTGGTAAATAAAACCAAGAGATGCTGTCGAAGCATCTCTTGGTTTTATTTACCACCATTTGAATTATATGACTGATAAGTCCATAAAAAAAACAGATACAATCTTGATATTATTTTAATATTCTAATGTCTTCAAAATAAATTAGCATTCTCTGCTATGTCATTAAATTAAAAAAAGAAGCAAACCTCTTTCTATCCATAAAGAATGTTTGCAATTTTAATCCTATTCATTAAAAAATTCTGTGACTTTACCTTTTCGCATAAGCTTCAATCTTTTTAAGAATCAAATTGAATGTGAAAGCCTGCGATGAACTTGATATTAGCAGAGCTCGAATAAATGTATCCTATAAGTGCTTTATTTAAGAATTCCAGTTTCAAGAAAATCGACAACTAGCCAGACAGTTTTGTCAGTGTCTTTCACGAGATCTATCTAATATTTTAAATGAATGAGAACTCTCGATGAAAAAATCGAATGTTCTAGAAAACATGGGCAATTTCTCCGCATAAGCAAAAAGTTAGAATGAGAAAGAATTGCTGACCACATATCCCGCTTCAGTAACGGAAGGTGATAAATACATCTTGAGTTTGGGCTCTTCAACAATTTCTTCTTCGAAAAGATCGAAGAAAGTTGCTCTTTGCTGCAACATCTTATAAGATAAATGCAAATAGAAAATTTTTAAAAGATAAATGTAAAGAAAAATAGTTAATTAAAAGTACGATATGCAAGATATATTAATTATAAAATAATTGTCTCACACTGTCATCCTTGCAATATGCATCCAATTTCTTTACGAGATCATAAAAACTGTTTGCTGTAACAAAAGTATGATATTAGTCATACATATTATTAATCATTAATTGCAAAGCATTATTACATGGCCACATACGCCATCACAATTTTAATCTTTTAATTTAAAGGTTTTTTGTCATAATAATCAAAGTTGCAAATAGAATCAGCAAAAAGAAAGAAACTGCCTAATCACCCACGTAATGATCACCGGGCTACATAACCTTCGCATGACTCTCTGACCTATGCAAGCAAAACCATTATGCTAATAATAATCACTGGAAGGGCAGAACTTATCAGAAAGAAAACTTCAAGACGATTAAATCTAACCTAGATATACTGATGTTTCATCACTGCCACTTGTGCACATTTCAACTCCCAACTCTTCTAATAAATTTTCGAACGCATTTCGTGCTGTTATTTTACTAATACTTAATTTACATGCATTTCCATTCTGTGACTGTGTATAACATCGATCAAGAGCTCGGCGAAACTCCTTTTCATCGATTATCGGGTAATCATTTTCCAATGAATCTTTTGTTGATGATACTTCAGATGGTGCTGAAATATAACTGAAACTTATGGAGAAGAAAGTGATCACGGAAATGATGAAGTTGTTCAACGCTGCATGAATTCATTTATAATCACAACTGTTTCAAATAACTTCTATAACTAATAAATTAGATTGAGATGGATTTAAACTAAGAGTAATCACTCAAATCGGAGCATTAAATATTTAAGTAACTGATTTAATCCACTTCTTTAATTTAATTGGAAAGATCTTAGAATTCAAAAAACTACAATATACAAAATAGATAACGAGATACATGCAATCTACATATATATATATATATATATATCGATCACCTGCCATAAATGTAGAAAGTTCATTCACTAATAGTGTTTCATATTACAGTTCAAAATTAATCTCTGAATACAATATACTAACCATCTACGGGAGACGGTGTTGCGGGGACAAATTCAAAGTTATCCACCGGCAATTCGCTTGAATTTTCCTTGATTTCCGATATGCCTCGACCTTTCTTCCGTCGAAACATCGTCCACTTGCTTTCTAATCAGTGCTCTTCAAATTTTGAAAAATCTAATTTAATTCAAAACACAGTACCTAATTCAAAACCCCGCTGCAAACGTATCTCGCCCTGAAATGGCCACAACCTTTCAAGAACGCCCATTTTGAGGCCTCTTCCAAATATTTGTTTTTCAAAATGAATCAATCCATTGCTCAAGTCACTCCCACTGAAATTTCAAGCACCGCTGTTTCCCTGAAGCAACCAAGAGGATACCTCCGGAAACATTTAAATATCAACTATCAAATTTCCCGCTCATGGGACGCCATGCAACTCACACCTCACAGCAGTAGGCTGATCATTTGATACCGTCCTGTCACTTTTCAAACATCTCTTCGATTTTTATTGTAATCTCGAAATGTGATGTGAACAAGCTGAGATACGTCAACAAGCTTTTATCACAATTATCACTAGTGCAAATCCAGGACGAAATAATTAACATCGAATTACAGAAAAGGTACATATTGCATATCAAATCTCTTCGTGACATTAAACTATCTTTTAGGTCTCTTTAATATTTTCCATCTGTTTCTGCATTTCGTAGGCATTTTCCAGCTGTATAAAACGGGTCATTAGTAATGGTAATGGCACCGTCGCTAAGTGAAATAACGCATGCGAATCAATAATCCAGTATAATGGAACAAAATCTAAGATCTGAAATTATCAAATAAATAAAATCCTAGAACGGAAAAAAACGAAATATTTAGTTACTATATTTCTCCAACCATTCTGGTACTACAAAAATCAAAAACAAAACTTCTCAAGACACTTGTAGAAACTAAATCTTTTTTATAACTTAACATCTCATTTAACCAAGCTAATTAGCGAGTCGGTAGATCTGTCATAGTGTTGTACCACGATAATGAGATACAGCTGCTAATGTTTTCTGAACAGAAGGATTTGATGCTTTGATGGGAAGTTCTTTTATAAATGAAATCAGAAATTTCAATCAGAAATTAAGTGAAATCAGAAA